AATTCATAATTCCTAATATTCACACCAACCACCGATAATCACCAAAAATGTGAATATTCATATTTAAATAAATTAAATAAATATGCTAAGAATTTGAGTGTTACATGACATCATCAGATTCAATGTGAGAGACATTTATTTTATCTATTTAAAGCAATGTATTTTTTTCGTAATAAGGACGCTTTTTGTAAGATTGTAAGGAAAACACTCCGAGTACCATAGCATTACGAGAAAAGAGTTTTTCATTCCTACAAGATGTACTATCACGTTACCTTTTACCTTCTTATAAGCAGTTTATGTTATTAATTCCAAATGTGTCTTTGCCTTGTTGTTTTATTTTCAATCTTTTCACATAAATTATTTCTCATTCCTTTGCATACTTTTCTAAGTTTTCAGTCTCACTTACAACAAATTCCCAGTCTACTGCAAATAGATTCAAATAGACTCCATACCACCATTTTTCCCATACACCCCAAACCAAGAGTTCTGGGACTCATTTGACCGGTCCCGCAAGTAAACCTGCGTTAGGAGGTCAGAGGTTATTCGCGTGAAAACTGCATGCGAACAATACTTCAAATAATTGATTATTGAGGCACAAATGGAAGGAAGTATAGAGTTGCTACCAATAATTAAAAATTTATCATAATCAATTATAGAATCAACCAAGCATTGATAAGTGGTTTTAACATCGTTATTTCTAATTATTTTCTCTTAGTATTTCATCGCATTTTGATCGGTTTACTTCCATTTACCATGTTTTATGCTTTGGTTGTGTGTCCTTGCTATTTTCAGGGTCTAATGAGTATCAATGACAAAGAGGGATAGAAAATAATAAAAACAAGGTAAAAAGACAAAAGTCATGTTTTCCTCATAGTAAAACCAGGTGGCTGCTATGGCTACCTGTAGCAGTAGAGACGCCTAGGGTTTCCTTTGAAGCTTTCCTATTATATTCACCAGAAGCCTACTACAGCCACCCATAACATATTGAAGGAAGGGATATCGTCTATAAATTGCTAAAGGCAGGTTACTATTGGCATACCTTTCTGAATAATAATGTCGCCTTTGTTATGAAGTGCGACCATTATCAGAGACACGCGCACCTTCATCACGCTCCGGTAGAAATTCTTCATTCCATGACATCACCATGGCCTTTCTGCCATTAGGGGTCGACATCTTAAGCTTGTTCCCCATGATGCCAGGCCAGTTAAAGTTCTTTATTGTGTGAGTAGATTGCTTCATAAAATGGATAAAGGCAAAACCTGTCGCCAAAGTCATGGCGAAAGAGTTTGCGGCTTCTACCAACAAAACATTATGTGTAGATTCGGGCTACCCGAAGTCATAGTCTTCGACAATGGAACCCAGTTCACCAAACTACAGTCATCGAATTTTACCGGAATTAGGAGTTCAAGAAAAGTTCATATTAATTGTTCACCTTTAAGCCAATGAATAAGTTGAGTCAGCAAACAAGAAGAAGCTTGACGATGCCAAAGGCTTATGGGTGGAGATTCTCCATGAAATATTATGGTCATATCATACCACCCCCACTATACTACCAAATAAACTATATTCATCATGGTTAAAGGGCAGACACTATGCTTCCTATAGATATTGACACTCCCTCGTGGAGATGCTCCCAATTCAACCAGGAGGTAAACAAGGTAGGGTTTGTATGTGTTGCGGATCTGGTCGATGAATTGAGAGAAGTCTCCCACGTGTGTGAATTTGCCACCAAACATTGAGCCGCCAAGAGATAAACTCCAAAGTCATGCCAAGGGAGATGCGAGAAGGAAACTCGATCTTAAGGAAAACAGTCTTACCCGTATAATAGGAAAAACAACAACCTAGTTGGAATGAGCCATATCACATATTCCAAAGCTCCCTCACGGGACATATAAGTTGTAAGAATTGGAAGAAATACTTATACCCAGAACTTTGACCTCTACCCGTCTTAAATATTATTAGAGTTAGATTATTTGTATTTTTTTTAAGGGGGAGATTGCCCGCTGTGTATGAATCTTAGAATGTTTATGGACATGGAATACATTTTTCATGATATTATGTATGTTAGAGTTTCATATGAATATCCTTGCCGCCTTAAAAGGATATTTGAATATGCTGGACTTTCATGTAAAAATCCATGCATCTTTAAAATAATGTTTAAATATGTTGGACTTCCATGTGAAGATCCTTGTTGCCTTAAAAGGTTGTTTCAATATGCTAAACTTTCATGTAAACATCCTTGCCGCCCTAAAAATCTACTTAAATATGAACTTCTATATAAATATTTTTGACGCCTTAAAAGAACATAAACATGTTGGACTTCTATACAAATATCCCTGCCGCCTCTTAATTCAACACAAACACGTTGGACGTCCACAAAAAGATCCTTACAACCCTTTAGGGTTATATGATCGAACTGACAACCAATGGATGTGACCGAAGTCTATCCCAAAAGACATAACTAAAATTCATGTTGGAGGACTTGATAGAAGTCTTCCCCAAAAGGTTTAACGCCCCACCCGAGGGACATGAGTTCTAATCTATTAGACAAGTAACTTCAAGCACATGAGGTGGTAAATTTTAGTTTTATATTTTTCTCGATTAAGACCGTGTTAGTAGTTTAGCATGAGTTAAGTGCAACAAAAATAAATAATAAAAGTAAATTACATAAATTTAAAAGGATAAAGTTAGAGGAGTTGCACTGAAGATTTATACAGGTTTAACTTAACATTAGCCTAGTCTTATTCTCAAGAGGTCTTCTTGAGAGTTTGACTATAAACTTTAATCTTTTGATAGTTATACCCATAAAATTTTATACAAGTAGTTCCTGATACTTTTACAGGCTTATCCCCAACCACAAATAGCTTTTATCACAGGCTAAGCTAGAACCTTCTTAAATATTTTCAGACTAATAAAAATCATAACTTTTTTTCCAGAAAAGCTCAATAAAATATAACAGAGATTTTAAGACTGACTTATATCATGAACCAAACTCAATTCTCTTAAGAGTCACACTCTCAAGAATCAAACAAATTGCACGACCACTTACAAAAAATTCTTCCTCACAAGCAAAGCTTCACTTACTAGCACTAAGACGATTTTAAGTGAAAGAAATATTTTTTAGAGAGATAAAAAGAAGAAAATTAGAGAGATAAATTTCAAAAAAAAAATATAAATCGTTGAAAAGCGGTGTGAAATGAAGTGGATGGGAGCCTCTTTTATATATGAGTTGGAAAAGCCATAAACAAAAATAATCAATGGGTTAAATTAATGAGCCAATCGATTGGCCAACTCATTTTTAACCAATTAGCATACCCAAAAAATAAATATTAGATATAGAGTCGTTTCAAGTCATTAATATGTTATCGTAAGTTCTTGTTTAAACTATTAGCGCTTCTCTAATCGGTTAGCTTAATGCTCCAATCGCTTGGCTGACTAATAAAAGTATTGCTAATCGATTATTACAACTTAACTAATTGATTGGTTAGTTCAAAAATAGTTTAAAAAATGTTTGGACAACTTTTTAATCACTTGTCTTGGTTTAAACAATAATTTTCACGATAAAAACATTTGAAAAGGATTTTTAAGGTGTGTGCGTATGCCTGTGAATTTCCTTAGTACTTAAAAGTTACTTCCTTACTTTTGCAAAACTCGGATCACTCAAAATGACAGAAAAATACGTCCTGAAAAACTTTCATACTTTATTTGAGGCTTTAACATTCTTATTAGATGCTTATGATCTTATAAGCACTTTAATATTGAATCTCTTTCTGTTAATAAGACATGAAATATTTCTCTAGTTAGATCACCATCATCTAAGAGTTGAAAGCTATTACCACCGACCTTAATCATCGTTATTGTCATAAAAAATTCAAAGAGGAACTTTTGCGAAGTTATCAACTTTATAATTGTAATCACATAAATCCACATCATCAGCCAGGCTAAAGATAATCTCGCATGAGAGACTAAGAGTCTCATTAAACAGGCATGTCTAAACTCCTACCTTAAGGACTTGGATCTTTCTCGGGAGGGATCTAACATAGTCTCGCCCAAAGGGTGTGATTAAAGTTTAGCCCAAGAGACTTAACTTAAAGTCTTATCCAAGGGCTTGATAGAAGTTCTGCCCGAGAAGTCTTAGACCTTACCTGAGGGGTTTGAAGCCTCACCAGCCAAGCTTAACATAACCTCGCATGAGGGACTAAGAGTCCTATCTAACAAACTTATCTAAACTCCCCGCCTGAAGAACTTTGAGTTACCTCATACGGGTCCAACATAAAGTCTTACCCAAAAGGTAAGACCGAAGTCTATCCCAAAATACTTAACTTAAAGTCTTGTCTAAAGGCTTGATAGAAATTTTACCCCAAGAGAACTAACGCATCCCTAAGAGACTTGAAGTCTCAACATCTAGACTCAACATAACCAAGCATGAGGGACTAAAAATCCCATCGAACATTCTTATTTAAACTCCCCGCCCGAGAGACTTAGAGTTTCTTCGACATAATCTAAAATAAAATCTCGCCTAGAGGGTGTAACTGAAGTTTATTCCAAAAGACTTAAAATCTTATCTGAGAGCTTGATAGAATGCCAGACAGAGAGGTCTAACGCATTGCCTAAGAAAATTGAAGTCTCATCAGAAAGACTTAACATAATCTCTCATCTCTCATCGTAGAACATCATCAAACATGTTCTCTCACGTATTGTAATTTGAGTGGTGAATAAGATATCTATATCTCATCATAACAATGAGTTTAATGTGTCATCACGAATGAACGAATTAAAAGATTGACAAATAAAACATTGATTTTTCCATTGTAACATGAAGGATCTTGAGCAAATATACAAGGAACTCCATCATCCCATCCATCTTAGTCACCCGTCACCAAGATAGACATTTAACCAACTTATCCTAATCACTTCTTCCCCTAACCTAAAGCAAAAATAAACCACACTTTTTGTCTCCAACAAAACAAAGATAGTAACTACTAACTAGGTAATGCTTTTCAACGAGTCCAAGTAATAGGAGTTGAAGTGTTTTGAGGAATAATCTGAGGTAACAAACAGTGTTGCTGAAACCCCTCAACGATTGTTGGATAGTTAAAACTTGAAGCATTCTTCTTGTCTTGTTCTTCTTCTACATCCATCATGGCTCCTTCATCTTCATCATCTTGTTCTTCTCCCATTTCATCAGCTTCCATCAACTCTATAGTATTTCTATTGTTGTTGTTATCATCATCATCAAAAACATGGGAAGAAGAACCGGAGGAAGATTGTGGTACCCAAGGCACAATAGCTAAACGACGATCATCATTGTCGTTTTGTTCAATTAGGTTATCATAATAATCATCACATTGTTTTGACCACGAAACTTGATCTGAATACAATTAATCAAATTAAAATTAAAACTAAACATGAATTAAAGAATAATAATAACAAAATTACTGAAATTAATAAAATACTTACTATTCTTAATTTCAGAGATAAGATCGGAATTGAGAGTGAGAGAGAAAGAGGGAGAAGAATGAAGAGATGGTTTGAAGAGTACAATAGCTCTCTCGTGGTTAGGAAGAGATAAAGGTTCGTTTTCTTCTTCTTCGACAATCGGAGTCAATCCTGCATCCTAATAGGAACATTCGGAAAGAGTAAATAACAACAAAATCATAAAATTGAAGAATAATCGAAGAGAGGTAGAGAGAGAGAACGTACTAGGCGACGGATTTTGGTGGCTGGAGAAGAAAGAGAGAAATCGGAGAAATCGTGGCTGATTTGATCGACGGTGCCGGTGGCTTTTCTTTTCAAGAACTTGTATGCAGCCATGGAATTAGCGAGATAATTAGGGTTTGGAGAGGAGGAGGAGGGTAATGGTGCAGAGTGTGGAATTTGTGAAAGAGAAGGAAGAATGATAAATAAGCGCGGGGGTAGTAATGTCTAGAGTTCTCTGGAATTGTTTCTCCTAATTCTTCCAAAACCTTCCACCCCTTTTCGTTACTTGTCTCTATCCGCTTTTTTAATTCTTCCTATTTTCTACTTCTTCTTTTTTTTTCTCTTCCATTGCGTAAATTATAATAATAATAATAATAATAATAAAAATAATAATAATAATAATAATAATAATAATAATAATAATAATAATAATAATAAGTTGTAATTATAAAAAATAGTAAGTTGTAATTAGTGATAAATATAGTTGAACACTCCTTTGAATTTAATTAAATATTATGTTATTTAATTAATACATTCAATTAATTAAATATTATGTTTTTATTTTACTTTAAAATAAATTAAAAATTATTTAGACTAAAAATATCGGTGCACGACTTAAATTTTGTAAGTATTTATAAAAAATTTCATATATATATATATATATATATATATATATATATATATATATATATATATATATATATATATATATATATATATATATATATATATATATATATATATATATATATATATATATATATATATATATATATATATATATATATATATATATATATATATATATATATATATATATATATATATATATATATATATATCATAAACAAAAATTTTAAAATATAATATCACTTAAATGAAAGTTTCAAAAAAAAATTATCAAACCGGCTATGCTTTAACGGTCAGTCGCCATTTGAATTGGCGAAATTGGCAAAACTTGTGAAATGACCATGAACAAAGTCACCAAACGGATTGGCGAAAGAGGCAAAGTGGAAAGTGATTCGCCTTGCTGAACGGCGATACGGGCAAAACTTCCGGTTAAATCATTTTTTTTATATTTTAAATTTTAATTATGTTTTTAATTTCAATTAATGTTAAATAGTTTAACCTCATTAAGTTTTTTATATTTTTAATTATTAATATTTTTTAAACATAATTATTAATAATAACCTTAAAATAATTAGGTTTAAAGTTAAAATTAATTTTTTAATTAATAAACTTAAAATAATTAGATAAATTTATGTTGATCTAAAAGTTAAAATTAAACCTAATTTTATGTTGATCTAAAAGTTGAGTGTTCATTGAAGTTTAAATTTTAAACCTAATTAAATAAATTTATGCTCATCTCAAATTAATTTTTAATTTTAAAGCATATAAATTGATTTAAATTATAAATTTTAAAGCATAAAAATTGAGTGTTCATTGAAGTTTAAATAATGTAAATTTTGTAAGGGTGTTTAAGTCATATCATATGGGGTATGGACCATTTTTTTTTACTATAAATACGACTGCAAACACATGTATGTTTTCACAACATTGTATCCCAAAAGACGGAAGCTTTAGTGCATTTTGAGTTGAGTAGAGCCTAGAATGTCTGTATTTCTAAATCAACGTTCTTCGTCGTCATCGTCATCAGTATCGGAGGAATCGTTTCCAACGTTCGATCTAATGAAAAGAAATGTCGTAGTTGTGTTTTCAACAACAAAGCCTCTGATGAAGGTGCTCCTTTGGAATACGTAGACGTTGGAGCACTTGCACAAGGAACTGAACCGCTGGCTAGAAGGAGATATTGCTCCAGGAGAAAAGATTAGGAAAATCGAGAGATTAGTTGAGGAGACCGGGAGAAACAGAGTTACTCGTGAATGGAGAAAAGTGGAAAATGATGCTGGTGCCCTTGTGATGATGTTGACACCAAAGAAGATAAAGTTGATGGTCGTGATATCGTAGACGCCTCGGTGCAGTATTCTGATTTATGTCTTTACGTTGTTGTTATGTTGGTTTAATTTATGTTGCCTTGGTGGAGTGTTCTGTCTTTATGATGTTGTATTATGAGTTAACTATGCTTTTAAATGAATGAAATTTGTTATTAATCGAATGAAATTTGCTATTTGTCGAATAAAATTTTCTATTGATTTAAAGGGACAAGATTACATACGAAACTATGATTTGCTGCTTGATCTTACGTTTGGACATTTTGTACGATTGTGTCTTGGTTGCCGACACAAACTACACAATCTCACCAGCTTATCTGTGGTATCCATCTCCGTTCGAATGTGCGTGCTGTTAGGCCGACCCTTTTTCTTTCGGCGCATCAAGTCATTATGCCAAACAATTTCGCCTTCGTATTCAGGCCAATAGTCCTCCTTTGCCACCACCTTAAAGCTGCATGTGTAGACATTGCATAGACTTATCACTTGGTGAACTGCAGAAAGAAGGTTGGTTGGATCCTGGCGCGCCTTTGAACATGCTGCTATGACATGAGAGCAAGGCATACGTAATGCTTGAAACTTTCCACAATCACACCAGCTCTTATCCAATTCAACACGGTAACATCCCCTACGCCTTCCTTCGTTGTGATCAATAGACTCGACAACACTGAACCAGCCAGTTGTACGGTCAAAGATTGTGACCATGCGTGTGTTGGCTTTGGCAGCTTCCTCTTTCATGAATTGCATTGAAGTATCGCTATACAACCAGCCCGATTGTAATACCGAGCCCCACTTCATACATCTGCTATCAAAGAGTGATCCTAGCCTAAAATAGGTTTCCTTTACCAAGGAAGTTATTGGGAGGTTTCAGATTCCCTTGAAAACAAAATTCATTGATTTGACGAGGTTAGTTGTCATGTGGCCCCATCGCACTCCATTGTCGTATGCACGCGTCCATTTCTCCCTATCAATGTTATCAATCCATCGTAATGCATCCACGTTTGTTAGTCTGATCTCGTCACGGTAGTATTTGAATGTTGGTTCAGTTAGTGCATATCATGCGTTCACAACCTTCTTCCGTAGCGTCTTGTCTTTGATTTCCCGCATGAAATTTTGGGCAATATGCCTTATGCAATAGACGTGGGTCGAGGGAGGATCCTGCCAACCGTTGTCATGGTTGTTGTATGCACTCTCGATTGATGGGTGTCGATCAGAGATCAAACATAAGTTAAGTTGAGGAGACACGTAAGAGCGGAGATTTTTTAAGAAAAAACTCCAACCCCCAGCAGTCTCCCCTTCTACTATAGCGAAGGCTATTGGAAAAATGTTGTTGTTCCCGTCCTGTGCCACGGGCATGAGAAGTGTGCCCTTATATTTCCCGTATAACTATGTTCCGTCAATTTGAATTATAGGCTTACAATATGCAAACCCTTTGATTCATGGTTCGAACGCCCAAAAGTTTCTGTGAAAAATTCCATTTCCACCAACGCAAGTTCCGTCTGCTGTACACGCAGGCATTGTCTCCAATATCGCAACATTTCCCGGAGAGTAGTGTTTAAGAGCCACCAGGAATTTTGGAAGTTCCTTGTATGACTCCTCCTAATTCCCAAACACCCTTTCAACCGCTTTAGTTATGGCAATCCAGGCTTTTCGGTACGAAGGAATGTAATTGTACCTTTGAACCATATGTGCAATTATAGTACTCACCTTCAAAGACGGGTTGTCACTAACGACTGACAGAATCTCATCGCAAATCAATCGAGAGATGAGTTTGCGATGGTCTTGCATCAGATTAGAGATTATATAACTGTGGGACGGACCCATGGACCCTATCTTCCAAGAATCGCTTCTCTTCCTGAAAGACGCTGTTAATCGGAAAGGGCACTCCTCGTTACGACAATATATCGTATACCGCGTCGGATTTGTCCGATCAACTATATAATCGGCTGACAACCCCATGTGAAACTGTTTGATTGTCTGGACACAATCTTCTTTGTTATGAAACTCGTCACCCTCCTTTAGTTTCCCTTCTGTTGCGTAGTTGGGATTGTAGAAAACATCTGTCGAGGGTTCATCGTCACCCAAGTCGAGAGTTGTCATGTGTGGAGGTGGACAATAAACATTGTCGGGTGGAACCCCGTCCTCCTGGTTGTTCACCATATCGTCAACAACGACTTCAATTGCTTCTTCTTCTTCGTCAACAACATTGACTTCGTCATGTTCATCATCAGAATTGCAAAAAACTTGAGAAGAATCAAGTTGCAGAGATTGTTGTTGTTGTAGTAACGTAACATATAACGCGATATCTGAGAAACCGGAATACTCGTGACTCCAAAACATGTTACGCACATCTTCATCGTCTCTCACCTTTAACGGGACAAATTTACATTCGACATGGCCGGCAAAAAACACTGGGTTTTTGTATATTATTTGCCCAACTGGACCACGTTTCAGTTTTTTTTCTATTTTTGACTTCAGGTGTAAAAAATTAGACCTTCTATCAATTAAAAATCTTGTAACTTCAGTGTTTCTGAAATTGTAACCAGATGTTTCACATTCGAAACTTCACTGTTAAGATGTGCCGAAATCATATATTGTGGTGTTTGAGACATAGCGAAAATTATGTTTGAGTGTTTGAGGGTTTGAGTGTTTGAGGGTTTTAGTGTTTTAGTGTTTGAGTGTTTAAAGAGTTTAGAGACTTTATTAAATAGGCTGAGTGTTTGATTGTTTAAAGAGTTTAAAGATTTTTTACATGTATTTCAATTAAATCTATGTGCAGCGTGCTTGATAACTGATTACATGCAACAGGACACTTGTCACGCATCTATTTACCTTGTCACCCTTCATGCAACATGCTTCATAAGACAGGACAATGCAAAACTCTGTGTTTCACATGTGACCCTGCATGCCTACATTGACCATGCAGGCCTACGAGATTCTCTTTCTGCATGCATCAGGACTTGATGAGACGGGACAATGCAGGAATCTTGGGTTCACATGTGACCCTGCATGCATCATGCTTGACGAGACGGGACAATGCAGGAATTTTCTTTTCACATGTGGCCCTGCATCCGTTTTTCACATAGTTGGTTATTTGCATACATGTTACATTAAACAATAATAAAAAATCTGAAATATGTATAAATTATCATCCATCAAAAAAAT